TCAGAGAGCGCTTATGGGCTCTTTACTTCAGAAAGCGATTATGGGCTCTTTACTTCAGAAAGCGATTATGGGCTCTTTACTTCAGGAAGCGCATATGGGATCTTTACTTCAGAAAGCGCTTATGGGCGATCAGAATTGGAATGGTTGAGCAGAGTTTTTTCCTAATGGACGGAAGCTGAGCTGGAAAGCAAACGATACCTTCGGGGATGAAGTCGGTGCAGAACTGCTCGAGCTCGTGGCAAACGGCGTCCGGGGTGTCGAGGAGGTTGACGGCCACGTTGAGAGGCTCGTCGCGGAAGAAGAAGGTGCGGAGGAACCCGATGACGTCATCCACGTCCTTGTTGCTGATCGAGACGATCTGGTAGGAAAGCTTCTCCCGCTTCGAGGATTCTACTCCTGCTCCCACACCCACCGTCGGTGAATCCACCTGAAACAGCCAAATGGCATAAATTATCAGTCAAAAATCATTATCTAAAATATAGTTCTTAAAAAATAAAAAAAATATCGACGGTGTAAGTCGGCAATCACATAACTCGTTTGCGGTGTCTAAAAATCTCCGCCTCTATGTTATTTTTTTTAAAAGAGAACGAATTGACATCATTCCTTGAAGTGTTTGCAGAATTTTCTTCGCACCGAGAGGGAAAATCACGGCAGTTTTAAAGAGTTATCGTTGAGTAGTTTCCCGTTTAAAAAATAAAGTATGACAGGAAGTCTGCGACATCGCAAACCGAGTTATGTGATTGCCGACTTGCACCGTCGATATATATAAAATACAAAAGACAATATTAAATAAAATATATAAAAAAAATTGTCATTGCAGAGTGACATGGGTTACCAGATCGTCTCCTGCCGGCCAGAGTATATCACTAGCGCCATGCGACGTTTCAAAATTTCCGCCGCTATTTTATTTATTTACAGAGAAATTGTTGGTTGAACCTGTTTGAAAATTTCACGGATTTTCATCGGCAGCTCAAAGAAAATTCATTGAAATTTTCGGACAGCTTCGTTGAACAATATCTTCGTAAAAAAATAACATTTTTGAACATCGCATGGCGCTTGTGATGAATTGGCCGGAAGGTGCGACGAGATTTCTTAGGGTTTATTATAAAGCCAGCTAATCTGGTAACCACTACTTTTATTTACTTTCATAAGCGTGGGGTAAAGATAGCCTAAAGAGAAAAAAGGGTCTGAAACTACTGACATTGAGAAGATTGTCTGCGAAATTATGCGCCGAAAATTCAGTAGTCCTTAAGAATTATTTTCGAAAATCCGTACGGATAGAGAATAAGACAGGAGAGAGAGCTTCGTTTCATCCACGGGTGGAAATCGAATCACTTTTGGTCTAGTGACCGCGAGAATACGAGACTACGTCAATGACGATGCAACGCTTGAATGCAACTATTCGAACTCAATGGATGTGCGTGATGTATCCTTGAGAAATTGAAGGCGCTTTGACTTTGCCTCACCAAGATAACTACGCTCTCGGCTAACAAGGTACGGCAATTTTTAGAAATTCTAAGTAGACGCGGCTGTCTTTATGAACTTGGGGAAATCCGAAAGAGTGAATCTATATTTTTATTTTTTCACTCCAGAATCCCGACCGTATACAAATTCGCAAACGGAGAGAGCTCCAGGCACCTCGAGTCGAGCGTAAATTACGGTGCATAGGAGTTTGAGAGGAGGAGCTGTACGACGCAGGCTTCAATTAGTAGGTATTGATTGATCGATTGATTGTTTTAGAGACCCTTCATAATGAGAGTAAAGACGATGTGAATCCATTTCTGATTGGTTTCCGTATTCGAGGCCTGCACAGTGCCACAATCGGGAATAAAGATTACATTTTCACCCAATGCAAAGATTATAAACTGGAATGGACCGGGGAATTGAGGATACGGCAAGGAACAAATGGAATGAGAGAGGGAATGGAGACAGGAATTCGGGAATGAGTTGATCAAAGATTACAAAAAACGTCCGATTTGTGTAATCTTTATTCCTGTTTGTGATAGGTATCCATAAGCCGCGTTGTCTCAACTCCCTTTGTGAAGGGACTCTAGAATGATTGATGTATATATTTTCTTCTCTAACAAGATTACAAAACAACTTTATTTTGTAATTTATTCGTGCACATGTAACCGTATACTTCCTGCCAAAAAACTGAATAAAGAGAAAATTGTGATTTTATGGTCTACAAATTGACAAATTTCCGTTGAAAATCAGTGAGTGTTTCCTTGTTTAGCTAGCTTTGAACGAATAGTGCCCGAATTTAGTCAAGTTTTCAGATTTGGTGCACTCCTCTTGAGTTAGGATCCATCAAGAAAATTGACTTGTGACGATTTTGCATAAACTTTACTCGGAGATTGGAAAACTCCAAGAACTCCATAAGGTGAAGCTGCAAGATTGCTCACACCATGTTTATCATTGAAAGGATTTGAACGCCTCAGCCTTTGCTTCATGGACGTCTTAATGATAATTTTTTTCTACATTTCGATTTTCTTATCATAATGAGATTTGCTACTCTTTATCTATTAGATTCCTCTCGGATAAAAGAAACAGTCGCGCAGTTTTAGTACATCCGATGGAGCTTGCCAGGTTTTGAATTTCCACTTTCCATTTCCACAGTGCGACAACTGTGCTTCTATGCTAAGGAAGAACGCCGTATGAATATTCGAGAATCGCCAAATTTCCATCTATAAAATGTTCATTTTAAAGGAATGTTATGAACATGTTTCTTTGAAATTTTCAGGAACCTTGGCTGAAATCGCGAACAAAATTATCCTGAAAAGTAGAGGAAAAATATTCATAAGTTAACCAGAAAATTTGTGACTTATCAAAGAAAATTTGGCAACGCCTGAAGGTTTACACGGCGTTTTTCCTTAGCACGACAGCGTGGTTCAAAAGCGATAAATCAAGCGGCTTTTATGGGTCTTTTTCTCACGGCTGGCCTTGCAAACGCGCTGGTTGTCCGTGGCACTTCACCCTTTCCGTACTCCTCATGCCGGATTTACCACATCTCGATTTTTTCATCTGTACCTACGAGTTGAAAATATTTGATTTTTGTCGCAATTATGCGACACTGGATTTTCTCGCCGCTTTTTACGAGCCTTTTACAAAAGCTTGTTTAACATTGAATGGCCAAAACCTGAAAATGCCTGAAACGACTCGAAAAAAGCTGTCAGTTGAGAAGGATATAAAATATCTAAACTGAAAGTAAGCACGTAGGTAATTAGAAGAAAAACAATCATTCGTGCCCGTCAATGCGTTCAACATGTTGAAGCCCGCGTTTTTATTTTGGTTTAGAGCAAGTACTGAAGAAGTAATCTCCAAAAATCTGCGTAAAGTTCATTGACATCTACCGGTGATTCGTGACATGCAGGCAAAATCGTGGACGGGTATTTTCGGTACACGAACTTAATGTCCACTTTTTTTACGTCCACAGACTTTTCGTTCACAATTTTTACGTCCACAGTTCTAAAGCCCACACAATTGTTAAGTCCATTACTTAAACGTCCACTAAGTTAAGTCCACAAATGTAAAGTCCACTAAAATCA